TGTAAAACTGCTAAAATAATGGTTATAACCCAAATGTTCTGAAATAAAATTCTACAAGACAAAGTACTTTACTTGAAAAACACCCTAGCATACTGCTGCTAATCCATTCTTTCTCCAGTGTTTCCCATGCAATTTGTAAAGACGTTCAAACATGAGCTGAATGTCCAGAAACTCTACCACTATATTGTTGTTTCTGTCATTGTCACAACCAGCCTCTTGGGTAAACAGATTGTAGTTCATTATACGTAGCAGTGCTGCCTCTGAGGGAAAGTAGAAAGACAAACACACATCACTGCCAGGTCCCTTATTAACAAAAGTCACTTCAAACCAAAATGTTTTCTATTTATTGTTTTAAACGTGTATTTCAAGGAATCAAGTCTCACATGTAAAACAGCAAGATGCTTAATTTCCATTTGGCATCTAGTAAAAAGATGTGAAGCAAGCATTTTTAAAACTGCCCAAGCCTCCTCCTGCCTGTCCCCCTACTTGTGCTGCAGAAGGCACCGAGCCCAGCAACATTCATTTATAATTTAAACTGTTCGTTTGGCAGAAGTTTTTCATCTTAAGATGTCGAGTCCTAATTGCAACCTGCACACCCAATGTTTTTACCAGAATCTCATCTACTTCCAGTAGAGTTTTATGTAACTGGGTTTTCTGTAGGACAGAAATGCAGTTTCTTTATGGCACAGATGTTGAAATCTAGTGGAAAACATGCTCCTGCAGTTTTACAAGGACTTACAGGGCTCTATATGGACAAAAAGATACCTGTAGAAAGACTGATGCAAGTTTAACTTAGTTATTCCCTTCTTCCAGTTATCGTGGTCTCCAAGTTAATTCCCCAATATAAGCAATATTCTGTAACTATCTCACCTTCTTTTGGAACATCTATCTCAACTTTATCAAAGAATTAACTGAAAGTAATCTGCCTGATGATCTGGTTTGGACAACTGAGTACAGATACAGCTTATATTGTTTGAAACAGAAGTGACATCCACCCACAAAAGTCAATCTGCTGTCACCATGGCCAGCTTGGCAAGAACGGTTTGCCCCTAGTATTGATCATCTCTTTACCTAGTGTTCTCTCCTATCACTGCCTAAACTGTCTCATCACAGTCCTCCCAGACGCTCGTTCAAGAGTATCAAAAAGAAGGAGCAATATCTGTATCCCAATCCAGGATAGAAATCTAGTTACCTCAAAGTCATCCACTTAAGTATCCCAAAGCCACTGTCTCAGGTACAGGAAAAGTTTCTATCCTAAAAGTCAGAAACACAGTCTATATTTCCCTCTCATCATCACTCTTAGAACACACTCAGAAATTGAGTGTGCTACTATAAATTGTGTAATATTTTAAGAGTTAAATCAATAATTCAATCATAAACTCTAAACCACTTTTTATTAGCAAATATTCAATGACACGAGCGTGCTAATGCTTGAAACAGAGTCCACACTGCTGTCACAAAGCACAGCAGTTGAACATACAGGAGTAGATGCAATAACACCCTAAACAGTTATTCAATCTCAAATAATTCTGCTATCCATGCTGTTCCATCAGGACATACAGTAGTAGTTAGGATCGAAAGACTAAGTCTGTTTTTCAGCTCTTTCCTAGTATGCTGCTAGAATCTGAAACATCATTGAAGGCCAAGTGCTTCTGAAGCCTGCGTACAAGTGTTTCCATCCAAAGGGCAAATGAATTGTTGTTAATCAGGGCTATGAAATGTACAGTTTTCATAAACAATTTCTCAAAAATTTCTGCCTCAATTTCCTTATCCACAAAATAGTAGACAAATTCATCTATCTATCAGCCTCTTTATCTTTTGTAAGGATAAATTGAGCAATTTACATAAAGGATGTGAAGATAAAAATCTCTGCATAAATGCTAAGAATTATTTTACACTACCATATTCACAATACTTGTGTTCTGATTGTATCAATACTCCCACAGCAAGCCTTTTTTTTCATGGATTTAAACACATTTGGGGTTTAAAAATTTCATTTGGGGCTAATGTTTCTGTCAGTAGGCTCTCAGCATGGCAAATGATGTAATAAAAACTCACATTGTCCTCACAAACTATAACAACTACTTATTTGGGTTTTTTTTTAAACTTGTCAAAAACATTTCTCTTGGCAACCTATAGTTTATAGAACAGCTTTTAACACAATAAAAGAGATTGGCAAAAGCAAAGACTTATCTTGCAAAAGTATTCTGGAATGTCATCTGGTTATCATACATAGACATACAGAGATTGCTGTGCTTGGTCTGACTCACTGCTCTGCTTCACAAGAAAGAGGAGGATATACAGTAGAGGAAACCACACAGTAGCCACATATAAAAGTGCCCAGGACAGAGACAAGACTGGAGGATGAAGCTGCACTGAGGAGGACACTGTCAGAAGCCACGATGCTATCCCATATAGGCATGCTGGCAAACAATTTTCCCACTCTGGTCTCTCCTACTAAAGAATGGAAGTACAGTTGCTTGAGTATTGAAGGCAGACATAGCCAACTTTCAAAAATCACATATAAATTGGTCCTATATAAAGAGTCATATAAAAAAGGGCACCATTTAGTTTGCTTAATCAAGACAGAAAAAGAACAAGAGTTTGAAAACAGACTGATATACTCCCCTACAATCTCCAGGGTAAATGCACCTGTCATTCGATCCTGCAAAGGCAGTTATTTAAAGACATTAAGAGCTGTTTGATTTAATTAAAAATGTTTCCTGTGACATTAACAAAAGATGGGTTAAGCTCCACAGATGATCTGGCCTATGAACAATCAGCGCTGACAGGGAGAACACCCCGTCAACATGGCTTCACTAAGGGCAAATCCTGCCTGACTAATCTGGTGGCCTTCTATGATGAGGTTACAGCATGATGGATAGGGGAAGAGCAACTGACATCGTCTACCTGGACTTATCCAAAGCATTTGATACTGTCCCACACAACATCCTTGTCTCTAAACTGCAAAGATGTGGTTTTGATGGATGGACCACTCCATGGATAAGGAATTGGCTGGATGGTCGCACTCAAAGACATTGAGTGGTTCAATGTCCAAGTGGAGGCCAGTGACGAGTGGTGTTCCTCAGGGGTCAGTACTGGGACCAGTGCTATTTAACATCTTTGTTGGAGACATGGACAGTGGAATCAAGTGCACCCTCAGCAAGTTTGCAGATGACACCAAGCTGGGTGGTGTGATCGACACGCTGGAGGGAAGGGATGCCATCCAGAGGGATCTTGACAGGCTGGAGAGGTGGGCCTGTGACAACCTCATGAAGTTCAACCAGGCCAAGTGCAAGGTCCTGCATGTGGGTTGAGGCAATCCCAAGCACAAGTAAAGGCTGGGTGGAGAATGGATGGAGAGCCGCCCTGAGGAAAAGGACTTGGGAGTGCTGGTGGATGAGAAGCTCAACGTGAGCCAGCAATGTGCACTGGCAGCCCAGAAAGCCAACTGTGTCCTGGGCTGCATCCAAAGAAGCGTGGCCAGTAGGTCAAGGGAGGTGATTCTGCCCCTCTGCTCTGCTCTCGTGAGACCCCACCTGGAATACTGCATTCAGGTCTGGAGTCCCCAGCACTAGAAGGACATGGAGCTGCTGGAACGAGTCCAGAGGAGGGCCACGAAGATGATCCGAGAGCTGGAACACCTCTCCTCTGAAGACAGGCTGAGAGGGTTGGGGCTGTTCAGCCTGGAGAAGAGAAGACTCCGGGGTGATCTTATAGCAACCTTCCAGTACTTAAAGGGGGCCTACAGGAAAGCTGGAGAGGGACTTTTTACAAGGGCATGTAGTGATAGGACAAGGGGCAATGGCTTTAAATTGAAAGAGGGCAGATTTAGCTTAGATATAAGGAAGAAATTTTTCACTCAGAGAGTGGTGAGGTACTGGAACAGGTTGCCCAGAGAAGTTGTAGATGTCCCATCCCTGGAAGTGTTCAAGGCCAGGCTGGATGAGGCTTTGGGCAACCTGGTGTAATGGAGGGTTTACCTGCCCATGGCAGGGAGGTTGGAACTAGATGATCTTTGAGGTCCGTTCCAACCCTAACCATTCTATGATTCTATGATCCGTGCTTTCTTTTAGGCATTTGTCCCCAGTAGGACAACTTCACTTGGACGTCCAATACTCCCTCATACAAATCCGCAGAGAAATATTCTTCTAACTCCTTTTGAAATCATAGAATCATAGAATAGAATCATAGAATGGTTAGGGTTGGAAGGGACCTTAAAGATCATCTAGTTCCAAATACTTAAAAAGAAATCACCAAATACTTAAAAAGAAATCAAATACTTAAAAAGAAATCACCAAAGGAACATACCATTCTGAGCTGGCCCCATAACCTATTTCTCTTCTTACTGGTCCCTTTATGTTCTGCAAAACACAGAGAATCACTTTTCTTTGATACATTTTCTTTTGCTCCTCCTCCAAGCCACCCTGTTGCAGTGCAAGGGGCAGCCTCACAGATTACTGGAATGATCCCACAACACAGCATTCAGGATGATGCCAGCACTTGATACAGCAACGACTGCATTAATCACAGACACTACAACTCACACAAAGCAGCTGAGCCTTACTCCCAAACTGTGCCCACCTCAGGCATTAAGGTTCTGGGAAGCAGGATGACGGACAACAGCAGGCATGGTCAGCGTAAGGACTGACCTTTCAGCAAAACAAGGTGGAGTAGCTCAGCATGAAGAGTCTTCAGAAAATAAGAGTATAGAGTATTCTAGTCAGGTGGATAGTTACCATTCAGCTAGCGTCAGTTTCCTATTTACTTGTCTTTAACCAACTCCAAGGCTGTTTTCACATAAAATTCCCTGATTTTTGCAATATCTTAGCTGTTTCTTATGATATCTGAACATTTTCTGTCTATTATCTGTATAAATACTGCAGAGGTTCTGATAAGTAAAGGTCTATTTTAATATCTGCAGAAAAATATTTTAAAACAGTTCTCCTAAGCCTCACTAATACTATCAAGACTGAGCAAGGAACCACAATTAAGGATACTGAAGCTCCTATCTGTGATTGCTAAATGCCAGAGGTTAATCCTGAGATCATCCGCTGACATGTATGTCTCACAGTCACTGTTGACAGATATTGAGTTGACATGATAGGTGTGACCATTAGCAAAGATTCTCCGGGGAGTGACTTCTACCATCAAATCCATAGGTTTCAACACAGGCACCTGCCAAAAAAAATAAAATACAAAGGGAGTAGACAAATAATTTTTTGTAAAATGATGAGAGTTTCAATGGAAAGCAAGCATTCAAAGACTGTGACATTATAAAACTTCTCGACAGTGCATGCAAGCTGAATTTCCCCATGGATGAATTGGTGGGCAAGGTCATTCCTGCCAAGGAGGAAGGGAGAGACAGGAGAGTCACGGAGAGGCAGGCAGAGTGATGGAAAGCCTGGACTGTGGGAAGAAAGGAACTGGAAAGCCTGGACTGAGGAAAAGGAGGCACTGGCAGCTGCCGCAGAACAGGCCAGTCCCACAGCAGAACTGTCCCACATATGCAGGATGCAGGAGGCTCTGCCTCTGACAAGCAGGGAAGTCCTGTTACTTTGCTTTTGCTAAAATGTTTGCCGTTAGTTGTAAATCACTTACAGTATTTCTTTTTCTACTTGATGACTCTCTTCCAAAAAGTCAAGTGGTGAAAAGGTTATAATCTCAGCAAAACATAATAAATGAAGTCTTGGGAAACAAAGTCAACAGGTGTATTGACATACCGCACATACACACATACTCCTGAAAAGCCAAGACCACAGACTGTCACTCATCATTGCGCCCTCATTATTTCCCCGTGTGTCACTTCAGTGCCGTGCTTCAATAACCAGACACTGTCAATTTATTTCCTATTGGTAAAGCATTAAACACTGTAAGACTGTGGTCCATGACTGTGACTATTCGATGTTGTTGAACATCAATCAGAAACAATTTATCATACATCAATCCACAAGTTAGTTTAAAGAGGAACACAGAGAAATTAAAGCTTTGAGTTTAGCTTGCCAGTAAAGGAACGATAGAATGGTTTGCTCAGCCTTTGAATTCTCAGACTATAAGCAACCTGGAATGGTTTTCTTTGCCTAATCATATAGAATAGGTAAATATTCCATTAACGTAGTCATCTTTACACTTTGGAGGTTTTTTTTTTTTTCACAACAGACAGTATCAGCTTGTTTTGGAGGTAGGGGTTGTTTGCTTGTTTTCAATAATAAACACTAGCATTTATACAACATAGCCTTCCAGTTCTAACCTTTAGCCACTTCCTTTGTTAAAATACCTGGAATGAATTCAGCCATTAAAGCCTGTAAGCAAAAATCTATTACGTTATCATACATGCTTATATGAGTTCCATGACTGCATCTGTTCAGCAATGCAGAACCTCACATTCACTGGAGCAGAGACTACTGCAAATCCCACTCTTCAGATAGAAGATAATTCTTTTATACTACTGAAATAAAGGTGAGACTGAAATTTGGTGTACTGTCCTTAACTCAGTTGCTCTGAAGGGAGTACGAACAACGTTTAATATTAATTACAAGTAGAATGCTTCCAGCACATCAGGCTGAAGCATCCTGTGTGAAAGCATGTTAAGTCATGCTGAGTGAATTTTATCAGGAAGAATAAAACTGACATAAACTCTCTAAAGGTATTTGTGTTGGTCACTAAATCACAAAGCATTTGTGACTTGAAAATGTGTGACAGATTCAAGACCGTTATCAGTCAGCTAAAACTTCAATGAGAATAATCATATATATGCTTAGCATTAGGTACATATTTAAATCTTTAAATTTAGCACCCATGACTACCTTCTTCGTACAGAAACAACTAGATTTTGGACAAAGACAGCAGTTTACCTGCAGTGATGTTACTGTAGAAAGATCTTTAAGTTTTCCTTCTTCATCTTTTAAGTTGTACCCCTCTGGTCTCTTATCTCTTTCAGTAATTTTCCATAACTTGATTGTTTTATCTTTAAAAGAAAAGACAACTGTCAACATAGGAATTCAGAATGTGGTTACTCACTTTTTACAATATATTCCTTAAAGAAGTTTCTACACCTTGGTTTAGACAACTCCCATGCTGAAACAGTCTGGGTCATCTAATTTTACACATCCAAAAAACGTTGCCAACAGAAAAAATACTCATAAAGCACATCCCATACCTGCAAACCAAGTCAGAGGTTCCTGGCAGCTAACGGACCATGTAGAGCACATGCTGCTCTCATAGCCAGCTTGGCAGTTTGCAGGTGACACAGACCAAAACCACTCAATCGATGCTCACTGCCGAAGCTCAGTTTGACAATTTGACTTTGCAAGGAAATAATCTTGATATTAAAGCCAGTTTGCTAGGTTACTCATACACAGCGCAAGAAGAGCATGGAGTAGACAGCCAGACCAACGATACCTGCCTGGCTCGTTGTGGGACTGGGCAGGGATGTATTGGTATAACATCAGGAGCTCCAGCAAATGACAGGCTGCATGAAAAATTAGACTTTTCTCCCTCTTAAGGGAAAGCAGCTGAGAAATAACTGAGAAAATAAACTGATAGAATTGTGTTGTAAGGGTAAGAGATAGAAGTGGGGACAAAAATATATTAATCTTACATGGAATGGAATTAAATCTAAACTCTCCCTTTTTCATGATGGGTGAAGCGTCTGATAGAATAAGGATGTCTCTCATTTAGCAAAGAGCCTCTGAAGCCAACGAATAAAAGTTTTAAACATTTAAGATGGAGTTTTTCCTTGTTTTTGTAGTAGCTGAAGCTGCAGATTTCCCTAACATTGATCTCCCACTCCCACTCTGGTCGTGCACCCAATCTGACAAACCTCACACTCCCTAGGCTGAAAAATCAATGCTAAGTCTTCTGCAAAAAATCCGTCCCCGAGCTTCTAACAGTTGTTTCACTCATCTGTTGACAGAACAGCCAAAGCCTTTCCAAAGCTTCTGCACTTCAGCTGCCACCACAGGTTTCATTAACCTCAGTTCCTGCATCATTTCTGATTTCATCCCACTTTCTTCCTTTACCCCTCTTTCCCCAAGTACATAGCAGAGCATAATTCCTTCCAGTGTGGCTGATCCAAATACTTCTTTCTAATGCTAGTACACATCACGGTAAAGGCACGATATACGAATACATTAATTGCTTTGCATTTTTGCAAATTTACCTTTGACCTTTTTTTGTTTCAAAATCAATCCCTCCACTACTCTGAGTGTTTTTACTATTATGCATCTCATAATGATTTTGATATGCTAATTTTCAAGCAAGAAAAATATTACAGTTGATCAATCTACAGAACAAGAGGTTAATTCAATCTGCAACTAAAAAGCTCCAATTAAATATTCAATACATTTCATTTGTATCGTTCACATTAATTAATTACTAAAAACACATATAGGCCATGTCATGCAC